TCCCCACCAGAAGGAGCGAAACGGCTTTGAGCAAGATAGGTCTCTACCTTGTCCGCGTGTCCACTGGGGCCACTGGGGCCTCGCTCTGCGCCGGCTCCAACAACCAGGTGCAGCTATGACTGGTCGGCCAACACCGGGAGGCGGCGCTCGGGACTCGACTGCGGCCCGCAAGGGGCAAGGTGAGCTCCCCAGAGCCGGGTTCGGTGGGCCTGCGTCCCTGGCTCCGAGGCAGTCAAATACCGAGAAGGAGACGCGCTCCAGCCGGCCTCTGGCGGATCCTCTTTGCGGAGGGCGCAGGAGCTGGGCTCACAGCGAGCGCACGGAGACCGCGGGGGTGGGGGCTTTAGAGTAGCTGGTGGCAGACAGTAAGCGCATAATAAATGTTCCGGCTGCCAGATCTCCTGCGATGCTCCTGTGCGCCCCTCATTGCGCAGAGCTCCCTTGTCTGGAAACTCAGCGGTCACTGAAGCAGCCATCTGTCCTCCCCTTTTCTCTATTTTAAAAAACTGTTTCAACCGCTAGCGCTGCGGAATCTCCGACCTTCCGGGCTTTATCGCCTGGGGTGGAGTGGGTGGTGAGAGGGAAGGGATGGGAAGCCAAGACAGGAGAACACTCTCGGTTTCCCGACCCACATCCCATCGTATCTCATCTCTATCTGGGGTCCTACCAGGTCCTGTTACTCTTTTTCTTCCGCCAACCCTAAATTCCCGTCGAGCTCTAGCTCTCTCCCAGTTCTCCAAATCTGGATGCCCGTCCCAGGGAATTTCGAAGGAAATGAGGTCCGCCCCTCCTCCCACCTCCCAGACCTCTCCTCCCGCCTCCCCCGGTGTCACCCGCGCCTCCTTCCTCCCTTCACCTCCCTCTAAACAAGAATCTGGCGCAGTCAGTTCTAGACCAGGAGCATTTCCCGCGTCCCGGCCCCATATCCACCCGCCCCCGACCGCCCTTGAACCTGCCGAGCGCTGCTGCCCGCACCCCCACGCCCTTGCTCAGAGCTTCCGAGAAAGCGGCGCCGAGGGAGCTGGAAAGAGAGAGAGAGAATGCGCACGGAACAGGTGGCTCCGCAACCCCACGGGGAGGGGAAGAGGGACCGAAGGCGGAAAGGCGCACTCCTTCCTCACTTTTTCCCTCCCCAGGGCGGGCAGCTGGTGACACACAGTAAAGGCTCAGTAATGTTCCCGCTGCTCCATCTCCTTGGAATTGAGGGGATGCTGCTGAGCGCCCCTCATTCTACACAGTTCTCGCGCCTGGAAACTCAGCGGTAGCGGGAGCGGTCGTCGGTCCTCCCGATTTCTCGATTTTAAAAGCCATTTCACATCTCCAGCGGCCTTGCCACCTCTGCTGCGGACCTTCCAAGCCCTTCTTCTGAAGCCAGAATGATTCTCCCTAATTCACCCTCGCTGCTTAACACGTTTGAATGGTTCCCGCTTGTCCTCGGGACCAAATCCAAAGCCCACCTTCCAGAGACTCCCGACCTGCTGACGCCCACGCCTGGGCTCTGAGCTCCAGCTCCACGATGCTGCTGGCCCGCCCTTCCCCTCTGCTCTGTCCCTTCCCGCACGCCTCCCGCCGCCTGCCCTGGCTCTCACTCTCCCTGGCTGAGCCCTCTCCACCTCCAAGTCTCCAGGAAGTCTGTCTCCAGGCCGATGCGGCCTCTGCAGGTCCTCAGCCGCGGGGGAGCGGGTCGCACAGCAGGAATTGCCACCAGTGCGTCTCCCCACAGTGCGCTCGCCCAGCGCGCGGCTCCGGGTCCCCAGCGCCTCAACGCCCAGTCCAGCGCTTGGCACAGCCAATGACCACAGGGAAGACGAAATGAAGGAAGGAGCGCGTCTTTCCACCTGCCGCCCGTCCCCTCAGAACGAGTCCTGGGGCCAGCTGCTCAGCGCGCAGCTCTCGCTCTCTCTCTCTCTCTCCCTCTCCCTTTCTTTCTCTCTCTCTCTCTCTCTCTCTCTCTCTCTCTCTCTCTCTCTCTCTCCCCCCCCACCTTTCTCTTCCAGACGGAGCCTCACTCTGTCACCTGGGCTGGAGTGCAGTGACGATCTTGGCTCACCGCAACCTCTGCCTCCCAGGTTCAAGCGATTCTCCTGCCTCAGCCTCCTGAGTAGCTGGGGCTACAGGCGCCTGCCTCTACGCCCAGCTAGTTTTTTGTATTTTTAGTAAAGACGGGGTTTCACCATGTTGTCCAGGCTGGTCTCGAACTCCTGACCTCGTGATTTGCCCGCCTCAGCCTCCCAAAGTGTTGAGATTACAGTCATGAGCCGCAACGCCCGGCTTATAATTTCTTTCTTAAATAATTGACGCAGGAGTTATTTCACAGACTGTATTTAGCAATCAGCTTTTGTTATTTCGAACCACTGAGGACAATAAATTTCCTTTCTTCCTCCCTCCCTTCCCTCCCTCTTTCTTTCTCTCCTCTTCCTCCCTCGCTTCCTCCCTCCCTTCCTCCCTCCCTCCCGCCCTCCGTCCCTCTCTCCCTCCCTCCCTTCCCTCCTTCCTCACTGCATCCCTCCCTTCCGCAAGTAAGATGTCGATATTTACGCTTCTGACCGTGGCCAGTTCTTGGTACTGCTCAAGTCCGTGGGCCTTCAGACTGGCGCGTGACTTCAAGGGACCCTGGGTCTCTCCGGGGACAAACACTTGCCTTCACCCATTATCTACGTCTTGGAGCCCTGAGAGGCTTGGGTGCCACCGGGTCGCCGCGCTTCGTGTGGTTTCCGGAGGATGTGGCCTTGGCGGCCTCGGAAGGAAGGCGGCGCGGCCTTCGGGGAAGGCGCTGTTCCTCGGCCTCCTGCTCGGCACCGCTCCGCCCGGCTCCGCCAGCTCCGGGCCGCGACCTCTCGGCTGTGGCGCGGCCTTCCTTCCAGGATTCCATCCACGCCGGAATTCATGTCTTCTGCATGGAAAGCACGCGGTGCCCGTTTCAGCGACACCGCGCCCTGGAGCCCAAACGTCAGCCCTGCGGGTGTGGGGTTTGTTGGGGACCATTTCGGGCTCAGGTACACGGGGCGCTTCCCCAGCTGAGGCCGTGGGCTCCTGGCAGGAGGACCTGGAGTTTCCGATCCACGTGAAGGATGCATTTCCCCCGACTCTCGGGCACGAGCTGCCCTTTGGTGGCGCTGGGCACGGATCAGCGCCTCGCAGAAGCCCGCGGCAGCGTGGAGCAGGCGGGTGCGCTCAGTAGGACGCCGGCGCCGGGCGGGAGGCTGCGCTGGAGCGCGCGGGGCAGGGCCAACGCCTAAGGAGCGGTGAGTGCGCCGCGGAGCTAACGGCTGAGGCGGGTGAGGCGGTGGGCGCGCGGGCGGTGGAGCAGGCGACGAGCGGCTGAGGGGCTGAGGGGCTGAGGAGCTGAGGTGCTGAGAGAGCTGAGGGGCTGAGGGGCTGAGGGGCTGAGGGGGCTGAGGGGCTGAGGGGACTGAGGGGCTGAGGGGCTGAGGGGCTGAGGGGGCTGAGGGGCTGAGGGGCTGAGGGGGCTGAGGGGCTGACAGGATTGAGGGGGCTGAGGGGGCTGAGGGACTGAGAGAGCTGAGGGGCTGAGGGGGCTGAGGGGCTGTGGGGCTGAGAGAGATGAGGGGGCTGAGGGGGCTGAGAGAGCTGAGGGGCTGAGGGGGCTGAGGGGGCTGAGGGGCTGAGAGAGATGAGGGGGCTGAGGGGGCTGAGAGAGCTGAGGGGCTGAGGGGGTTGAGGGGGCTGAGGGGCTGAGAGAGATGAGGGGGCTGAGGGGGCTGAGAGAGCTGAGGGGCTGAGGGGGTTGAGGGGGCTGAGAGGCTGAGGAGCTGAGGGGAATGAGGAGCTGAGGGGCTGAGGGGCTGAGGGGGCTCAGGGGCTCAGGGGCTGAGGGGGCTGAGGTGCTGAGGGACTGAGGGGGCTGAGGTGCTGAGGGGGCTGAGGGGCTGAGGGACTGAGGGGTATGAGGGGCTGAGGGGGGAGCAGCCGGGCAGGGTCCCTGCTGCAGGGTCCGCCGCAGGTTCGGTGGCTGAATCCCGGGGCTGCTTTCTCTGCGGCTGCTCAGCCGGTTGTTTTCTTATTGTGATCCTAGTCGGCTGCTGCTTGGCGTCCTTTCTCACGCTGTCTGCTTTTTTGTTTGTTTGGTTTGGTTTGATTTTTTTGAGACGGAGTTTCGCTCTTGTTACCCAGGCTGGAGTGCAATGGCGCGATCTCGGCTCACCGCAACCTCCGCCTCCTGGGTTCAGGCAATTCTCCTGCCTCAGCCTCCTGAGTAGCTGGGATTACAGGCACACGCCACCATGCCCAGCTAGTTTTTTGTATTTTTAGTAGAGACGGGGTTTCACCTTGTTGACCAGGATGGTCTCGATCTCTTGACCTCGTGATCCACCCGCCTCGGCCTCCCAAAGTGCTGGGATTACAGGCTTGAGCCACCGCGCCCGGCCTGTTTTATGTCGATTTTATACCATCCTCCCTTTAAAAAATGTTTTTAAGAGTCAAGATTTCACTCTGTCTCCCAGGCTGGGGTGCAATGGGGCGATCAAAGCTTACTACAGCTTCAAACTCAGCCAGCTTTCCTGGCTCAAGCGATTATCCAGTTTAGCTGGGACTACAGGCGGTGCCACCACGCCCAGCTCAGTTTTGCTTTTTTTCCCCACTTGGTAGAGACGAGATCGCACTATGTTGCCTAGCCTGGTCTCAAACTCACAGAACAAAGGATGCTCCTGCCCCGTCTTCCGCGTGGGATTACCGGATCACTGGCAGGCGCGCCGCACCGGGAGCAAACACGGCCTGCTGTCAAAATTCAGATTGTGATTGGCTGTCATTCACTATTATGCTAATTAGCCTGTTTTTCAACTTTTTAAATTAAAACCATTTTTAAAAATTATGTTTCCACCGAAAACGTTAACATATGTTGTTAGTGATAGTATTCGAAAAGATGTTGCTGACAATCGGTCTATTTATTTCCTAATGGAACCAGAACTAGCGAAAGTATCTCGCCATCAGTGAAAAGTGTGCGGGGAATGTAGGCCCAGCGGAGGCCGCAAGCTGACGGCAAGACTATACTTTCAGGGATCATTTCTATAGTTTGTTACTAGAGAAGTTTCTCTGAACGTGTAGAGCACCGGAAACCACGAGGAGGAGGTACAGCGTTTTCTCCTGAGCGTGAAGTTGGTTCTCGGCGTTGCTTTGTGATGACTGCCGGTTACCGTTGATGATCGTTCTTCTCCTTCTTTGTGGAGGGTGAGAGGGAGAAAACGCAGTCTGAGTGGTTTCCTTTATTAGTTTGTTTAATGGTGGATCGATGTTTTGCTTTAAAAAGAAGTGTATCTGTGTGGACGGCGAGTGTTTCACTTGTGTTTATTTTTCGATAGTCTGTTAAGTCGTTTTTGTTTTTTTTTGAGACGGAGTTTCGCTCTTCTTACCCAGGCTGGAGTGCAATGGCGCGATCTCGGCTCACCGCAACCTCCGCCTCCTGGGTTCAGGCAATTCTCCTGCCTCAGCCTCCTGAGTAGCTGGGATTACAGGCAAGCGCCACCGTGCCCAGCTAGGTTTTTGTGTGGTTTTTTTTTTGTTTTTTTTTTTTAGACGGAGTTTCGCTCTTGTTACCCAGGCTGGAGTGCAATGGCGCGATCTCGGCTCACCGCAACCTCCGCCTCCCGGGTTCAGGCAATTCTCCTGCCTCAGCCTCCTAAGTAGCTGGGATTACAGGCACACGCCACCATGCCCAGCTAGTTTTTTTGTATTTTTAGTAGAGACGGGGTTTCACCATGTTGACCAGGATGGTCTCGATCTCTTGACCTCGTGATCCACCCGCCTCGGCCTCCCAAAGTGCTGGGATTACAGGCTTGAGCCACCGCGCCCGGCCAGTTTTTGTGTTTTTAGTAGAGACGGGGTTTCACCATGTTGACCAGGATGGTCTCGATTTCTCGACCTCGTGATCCACCCGCCTCGGCCTCCCAAAGTGCTGGGATTACAGGCTTGAGCCACCGCGCCCAGCCCACTCTTGTCTGTTTTTGCATTCTATTTGGCCAGTATTTTATTTAGGATATTTTATTGGTATAACTGAGGGTGAACTGTGTTTTACAGTATTTTATTTTATTATGCTTTTTCTCCTAGATTTTGATTCATTTTTATGCTGACAAAATGATTAAACATTTTGGAAACTTTCCTAGAGCTGATAAAATAGCTTTTATATGATCTTTTTCTTGAGGTAATAAAATAATTTATTTTGAAATGTCTCAGCCTAACGACTTTTGTGCCTTTGTTGTTTTGTGCAGAGGTGGGAAGACTCCTTTGCATTTGGGTGTAACTTCTGTGTTAATGTTTTTGTTGTTTTGCAGAATCACTTAGTGATCTGTGTTTTCCAACTTAGGGTTAACGTGTATCATTTTGTGATTTTTAAAATGTCTTGTATGTCTCTCTTTGTATTGGAGTTGTCTTCATTTTTTTTCATCATTGAAGTAGGAATTTATTAAATATTCCAATAAGACTGAAATTTTACTTCATCTTCCAGGCATTCATTTTTTCAATGTTATTCATTAATTTCTCCATGTTCATTAATATTGGTAATAATTTTGTATAAATTATTTCAGGATTACAAGCTTACTGAGCAACATTCTCTGTCTTTAGTATTTTAATGTATTTTTCCGTGAAATATACTTTAGTTACTTATACCATATTTAGGTTTAGCTTATTTTCCTAATTCTAGACCCACCACTAATTATTAACTAGAATGCTGATAATTTTCCCTAAGCTTAAGTTGTCTATTATTTATTAATTTATGACAGATGAGCATACAACTATTTTATTATGAAGATTTAGTGATATATTGGTAGATATTTTATACTATGTGCTTAAACACACTCTTAAATAATTGTTACTATATTTTTTCTGCCTGCTTTTCACATAACAAAAGTGCATTTTTAATTTTTTTATTTACTTGCAACAGACTTTAAGATGTAATGGTCCCAGGCTCTTTTGTTAACTGTTTTTTAGCCACATTTTATATTGTTGTCATTATATAATATTTACACGCTGTATTAGTCTGCCCAGACTGTTATAACAAAATATATAAACTGAGTGCTTTCAACAACAGACATTTATTTTTCGCAGCCCTAGAGGCTGGGAAGTCTATGACCAAGACAATGGCCGATTTGGTTCTTGAACAGGCTTTCTGGCCTCATCTATCTACCTATCTATCTTTTTATTTATTTATTTAGAGACAGAGTCTCGATCTGTCACCAGGCTGGAGTGCAGTGGTGCAATCTCAGCTCACTGTAACATCTGCCTCCCTGCTTCAAACGATTCTCCTGCCTCAGCCTCCCGAGTAGCTGGGACTGCAGGCGTGCACCACCATGCCTGGCTAATACTTGTATTTTTAGTAAGATGAGGTTTCACCATGTTGGCCAGGATGGTCTTGACCTCTTGATCTCGTGATCTGCACGCCTCAGCCTCTAAAAGTCCTGTGATTACAGGCATGAGCCACCACGCCTGGCCTGGTCTCTTCTTAATAAGGGCACTAATTCCATCATAAGGACCCCACCCTCATGACCTCATGTAAACCTAATTACCTTCAAAGGTCCTATTTCCAAATCCCATCACACTGAGAGTTAGATCTTCAGCATATTAAATTCTGGGGGAAACAAATGTTCATGCCATAACACACACTGCTTACCTTTTGTTTCCACTGCCATAATTGTTTGTTTAATTTTATCTATAATATTTTGAAGGAACATCCTAATTATATTTTGGATCCTTATTTTTAAATACAAAAGGCATTTTTTAAGAAGTGAAAATGCTAATGAAGTCATATAGTAGTTGCTTCCTATACTGTATATATCTTGCGATATTTCAGAAAGGTAGATTTTGCATACTATATGTAATGCTATCATTCAAACATCTTTAATAAGTAGGTCAGAAAGAGAAGAATGTTTTTCGTGTTCAACCAAACTAAGGATACATTCCAGGTCCGAATCACCAAATACAAGAAATTAGATTTAAATATTTGTAGTTAGGCATTTAACTGTTTAATTACAGTACACCCAGAACACACATTTTATGCTCAGGTCTCATATAAGCAGGGCATTGATAACATGTATTTATCTAAAGGCAAGTCTGAGCATTAGCTTTTGATAACATCGTAACCCAATTTGGCGTTTCTGTGTATGTTTAAGTGTCCAGACAAGCATTTTCCAATATTTTTTCTGATGCCAGAAATGTTCTCTATCTATGCTACGAAATATGCTAACCACTACCCACATGTGGCTTTTGAGAACTTGAAATGTGGCTAATGTGACTAACTGAATTTTTATGTAATTGTAATTAATTTAAATTTAAATGTAGTAGCCCTATGTGGCTATCGGACAACATGCCTCTAGGTCATTATCACTGGTATCTAGATAGATCAGACAACTCACAGAAGCCTAACACTTAACCCCATTCTTCTTAGTCGGTGTCAAAGCAAAACATGAGGCCTGCTACTTCATCCCTCTACACTTCTGCTTTTTTTTGTTGTTTTTTTTTTTTTTTTTTTGAGAGGGAGTCTTGCTCTGTCGCCAGGCTGGAGTGCAGTGGCGAAATCTCGGTTCACTGCAACCTCCCGCCTCCTGGGTTCAAGCGATTCTTCTGCCTCAGCAGGTGCATGCCACCACACCTGGCTAATTTTTGTATTTTTAGTAGAGACAAGGTTTGACCATGTTGGTCAGGATCGTCTCAATCTCTTGACCTCATGATCTGCCCACCTCAGCCTCCCAAAGTGCTGGGATTACAGGCATGAGCCACCGCACCTGGCCCCCTCTACACTTTTGAGTTATCACTCATTTTTTACCCTAACATAACTACAAACATTTAAAAATAGATAGTATGCCAAAGATTATAAAAAAACTAGTGACAAAATCAGTAACTTAACAGTTTTCCTTGAACTCTCCAATGTGGTTCAATAAATAATCTTGTGGAGTGTTTTTTGTTTGTTTTGTTTTTTTTGACCAAATCTGGCTCTGTTGCCCAGGCTAGAGTGGAATGGCATGATCTGGGCTCACTGCAACATCTGCCTCCTGGGTTCAAGCGATTCTCTTGCCTCTGCCTTCCAAGTAGCTGGGATTACATAATCTTGTGTTTTTAGTATAATCTCTGTATGTTGATTTTGTTATCTTTAAGATAATAACACTAAGGAGACCTACTTTATATATATATATATATATATATATATACTTTTTTTTTTTTTTTGAGACAGGGTCCCACTCTGTCACCCAGGCTGGAGTGCATTGGTGCTAACAGGGCTCACTGCAGCCTCGACCCCTTAGGCTCCAGTGATACTCCCACCTCAGCCTCCCAAGTAGCTGGGACTACAGGTGGGTCCCACTAAGCCTGGCTAATTTTTATATTGTTTTTACACAGAGTTTTGCCATGGTGCCCAGGCTGGTATCCAATTCGTGAGCTCAAGAGATCTGCCCACCTTGGCCTCCAAAAATGCTGGGATTATAGACATGAGCCACCATCGATGGCCCTCTATAATGTTAAATTAGGCAACTGAAGTAATGCATACATCATACCATATCATGTTTTACAAAGCATGAAGTCAGGAGAATAAGTTGGTTAAGAGCATGAACTTAGAGGTGAAACCATGCTGCAAAAAGTTACTTTTGGTAGGAAGAACTGCACAGGGAATAGAGGATAAAATGGTCTTTGAATTATTTGCAGTGTTTTCATTTTTATGAAAGTGTTTGTTTGCATCTAATGTGAAGGGGAAATTTTTAAAACTGTTATAAATAATATAAAATATATCATCGCCTTTAAAAATTTTCTTTTTTCTTTTTCTTTCTCTGAGACAGAGTCTCATGCTATCGCCAGACCCCAGGCTGGAGTACAGTGATGAAATCTCTACTCACTGTGAACTCCACCTCCCAGGTTCAAGCAATTCTCCTACCTCAGGCTCCCAAGTAGCTGGGACTACAGGCATGCACCACTACGCCCAGCTAATTTTTGTATTTTTAGTAGAGATGGGGTTTCACCATGTTGGCCAGGATGGTCTCAATCTCTTGACCTCGTGATCTGCCTGCCTCTGTCTTCCAAAGTGCTGGGATTACAGGTGTGGGCCACTGAGCCTGGCCTTAAATTTTTTTTTTTTTATTATTATACTGTAAGTTCTGGGATACATGTGCAGAACATGCAAGTTTGTTACATAGGTATACACATGCCATGGTGGTTTCCTGCACCTATCAACCCGTCATCTACGTTAGGTATTTCTCCTAATCCTATCCGTCCCCTGCCCC